AATGGGCTGGCTATTCGTGCTGTGTCCTCCACGGGTATCGAAATTCGATGTTTAGTGTCATAAGTTCAGAGACTTGTCTCTAAGTTACTGGAGCACTTGTAACCTTGAAAAGTGTCATCACAGTATAGTGATACATGCCTATCAAATAATTATAGATTTAAAATTATGACTTTTTTCTTCTCATATATAATTAGAAAAATTAATATATAAAGGCTATTAAACTAAGAACTGTAAAACACACAAAATGAAATACCATCCAGTACCTCCACATAAATCTACAGAACACTTTAACCACACTCACCAGTAGTTCTATAGAAGTCTATAGAACACTTTAACCGCACTCACCAGTACCTCCACAGAAGTCTATAGCACACTTTAACCCTCACTGACCAGTCTATAGTAAAACTCTGCACACTCACCAATGCCTCCACAGAAGTCTAGAGGACACTTTAAATCACACTCACCAGTACCTTCACAGAAGTCTATAGGACACTTTAACCGCACTCACTAGTACCTCCACAGAAGTCTATAGGACACTTTAACCAAACTACCAGTCTATAGTAAAACTCCGCACACTCACCAGTACCTCCACAGAAGTCTATAGGACAGTGGGGAGTTTTACTATTGACTGGTCAGTGTGGTTAAAGTGTCCTATAGACTTCTGTGGAGGTACTGGTGACTGTGGGGAGTTTCACTATAGACTGGTCAGTGTGGTTAAAGAGTCACCAGTACTTTCACAGAAGTCTATAAGACACTTTAACCACACTTACCAGTCTATAGTAAAACTCCGCACACTCACCAGTACTTTCACAGAAGTCTATAGGACACTTTAACCACACTGACCAGTCTATAGTGAAACTCCACACAGTCATCAGTACATCCGCTTCAGATCCACAGAAGTTTAACTTACACTTGTTTATGTTTCTTGAAAATTTGTTTGTTTCAGAATTTCACACCAAGCTGCTCAAGGACTCTGTCCCTAATTCTGAACTTATAAACTTATGGGAAAGCATCCCATGTACTCAGTAGCCTCCACCGTCAACTGGTGGACTAATCTTGTCTAACAAAATACTGGGGTTTGACTGTTTCTCTTATATTGCAGATACAGATCCAAAATTACGGGTTAGCTAACTCCTATGCCAAATTTGATTCTGTTTCTTGTACACGTTAATAGCCATAGAACTGAGAAACTGGTATATTAATCAACTTCCCGCATTCTACGTGTAATGATAAGTTCCATAATATGAATATAGCTTTTCTCATGTCTCATGAAAAGAAGTTATGAAAGTCACAGATTCGCCCCCTGGCGGTTATTTTGCTAACCTTAGTAAAATAGTACCTAAGGCTAAGCTGAAGTAATAGTACATTATTTATTACGAGCTCACCGCGACCTGTGAGGAGAAAGTTTACTCTTATCTGAGGATAAATTTAAAGGTTTTTCTGGAATAGCCTTTTTAATCAAAATTTTCCACTCTTGAATATTTTAATGTCAGTTTTAGTTGATGAGGTATTGCTAGATCGTAATCTGCTAACGATAGAAACTATCGTGACGGCCACTTTTTCACATTACTGTCAAACAGATAAACATCTAGTGGCTAGTAATTTTATTCGTCAGTTAGCTACCAAACACTTCATCTTGAATACTGTTACCATTGATATGTTCAAAACCAAAATATAGATATTCTACATAAAGTGAAAGGGCACAAACACATGTTGTCTTCTTAGAAAAAGGAAAATATACATTTCAGTAGAGTTCCGGATTAATAGCTGAAGAAGAAAAATAAACATTACCAAAGTAATCGGATTATTGGCTGAAGAAGGAAGATAAACATTACCAACGTAATCGGATTACTGGCTGAAGAAGGAAGATAAACATTACCAAAGTAATCGGATTACTGGCTGAAGAAGGAAGATAAACATTACCAAAGTAATCGGATTATTGGCTGAAGAAGGAAGATAAACATTACCAAAGTAATCGGATTACTGGCTGAAGAAGGAAGATAAACATGTGCTTTAATGATGTTCAGGGCGTTTTTTGGTTTTTAACTTCCTAACTCATCTTGTGAAATTTAACAGGCTGTTATATAAAGAATTAATGTGCTGAAAACTTAAGATAATATGACTTCTGGTGAGAGGAACACTATCGACGTCTCATTGTGGAGATTTTTAATTTTGGGGTCAAGCTAGGTATAGAAACCTTTGACTTTACCAATTTTATATAATTTCTATAATATTTCTGCCATCTACTGGCAAGATTTTGTACTAATTTATTGTCGTATAAATGTAAAGAAACGCTTATTCTGATAAAAGAATAAATACATCTTGCAACCATAAGATACATATAAATCTAAATTATAATCAACTGACAACTTTTTTGATCATGGCATCACTTGTAGTTAAATTAAACTCAAACAATATTTTATCACTATATTATTTTTGTGATAATAGCATGATTGAGAAACAGTAAGATGGGCAGAATTATGAAGATATATATAAAACTTTTATACTACACGTTCGATTTTATAGCTACCGATCGTCAAAGGTTATGACGTCATGAGTAAAACAAGACATGATTTAATCATACAACACATAGTTTCTAGACCTCTACTATAATTTTTATCCTTGTCTTAGAAATGTCTGTTGCTTTTAAACTGGTGATATGATAAAAACACGGTGACATGATACAGTTTGTCATTAAGTGTGAAGAGTAGCATCAGGCTCTAAATATTTGTTTAGCATAAACATGGTAAACTGCAGTGAGGCAATTCACGTTTCTTAGTAAACAAATTTAACAAACGATAGATATAGTCATTCTCTTCAACCTGAGTCATGCTAAGGTGTTTTGTTTGTCGTAAAATTGCTCAGTCACTGTTTGTGTTGAATAAACACGAAATAAGTTCATCAAATAGTCCTTCTTGGATTTTTAGGCCCATAATATGGAAAAACAAAATGACAGGAGTTAATATATTTGAAATAAAAACAAACAAACAATTATTTAATTTCTTGGAGATCAACTTGTTCAGTGAGACGTAAGTGTCCTTCTAGTAACAACAAGCATTCCTTGATGTTAATTCCTATTCAAAGCATTTTCGATATTCACTGACCACAGGACATATGGAATGGTTATTTATATACGACCTCTAGTGTGTAACCAGAATGAATAAATATTCTGAACAGACCGTTATTACTAATACAACACATAGGTCAAAGTCCAGGTCAGAGGCTCCATGGGTCAGGAAAAGCCACCCGTGATGCAGAACTGTTGACCTGGAGAATAGCGGGGTTGTCTTTCACAACTATAACACTCACTCAGATGAAAATGCAGCTGAGTAACCAAACATGTAAATAACACGAGTTGTGAACATAGGTTAGAAATCTTATTTTAATTAATACAAAAACAAAATATGATTGTAATAATTCTTTTTAATAAACTAATACTGTATAAATATAGTAATATTGTATTTGGGAAATGCTATGAATAATTTAACTTTATAAGTATACCTGTAGATTTAACATATGTCGATAGATGGCGCCTACCGACCAGAGGAAAGTTACTGGTTACTGACTACTGTGCATTGTACATCACACTAACTGATCGACAATCTAAGTAGTTATCAAGAGCTTCAAATGGGGGCAATTCGTAAGTTGATCCATGTATAGGAATAATAAGGAAGAAACATTATCATTAAAAGAATACAGGGAAGATAAAGTGCCATAAAACATACAATGAGAACATGTATTAAAACAGAGTATAAGATGTAAGCATATTGTTTCAGCGCAAAACTGCACAAAGGGCTATCTGCATTATGTTCGTTGCATGGGTCGAGTCTCGAATTCTAGCGTTGCGTTATAAGTCCTGAAACTTACCGCTGAACCACTAGGCGTCTGAAAGAAACATTCCACAGTAAGAGTACAAAGACATAACGAGAACAACAAGAGAGGCGGAGACGAAGAAAATCAACACATAGATTAATTAGAGTCAAAGTAACCCTAACAGATAAGATATTGCAGGAAGTAAAAACACATGTAACGTACAGGAAGAAATGAAAGGTGTTTCAGGGGAAGTAAAAAAATCTGTAGAGGAAGAAAGTATAGAACGATTGGGGTTTAAAACCACCACTTCTAACGAAGTTATAGTGCGGAAACATATAATAAAGGAAACAACAAGATATTGAACGTTTTTAAACAACAGTGTTATTTATTTTCTCATCTCATTAAAAGGTTCTAAATCTCTAAGTTTGAGTATGTCAGGTAGACTGGTTTTGACTTCTTCTATGTATGTTTGTAGATCACTCTGTGTTGCATATAAGTCTGTATAGGAACTTTTCATTTCAGCCAAAGTTTCAATATTGCGGCTTCATCAGGGATAGCCGTTGGCTGTAAAAAAAAGGTTTTTTCATTATTATCTGGGGAGTAGAGGTAGTTTTTTTCCCTTAACTTTCTTGCCAAAATGTCTAAATCACTCCAGTATGCACTACAAATAACAAAACGTCTGTACAGGCTCAACCAAGTTTAGGTGATTGTCTTTTATCTAGTACAACCGAGAACGCAGTAACTCGTGCTTCTAAATTTTGATTTTTAAACTGATTTTTTATTGTTGTTTTATAAATATGGCTTTAACACATAAAGTTTTCATATATATTTTACTTTAATTAAAATAACTTGATGTATACATTTGTTCTTTGTTGTGATTGTCTAAAACCATAGTTACGTAATGCTCGAGGAGAAAGCACTGACCCAGCAAAAAGGGAAACAATACATAACAAATATATTTTGTGCTTCCTCCCTCCCCCCCCTTCCCTTCGTGACCAGGGCGAGTAATTCCTATTATGAGATCCTGTACTAGCAACCTCCCCCCCCTCTTCCTTCTTTCTTCCGCAAATCTTGAACTCAGCGGCATGAATCGTAACTACTGCGCAGCTGCTACGGCGCATTATCGAGGCTGACTAAATAAAAGTTGAAGTTTAATAAAATATTCTACATTTCTATGGAATATATCTGCTATTATAGTTTCTTTAGTATATTTTATACAATAGGAGCAAAGATGAACCCGCATTCCTACAAGAAGGGGAAGGGGGGTTACGAAGCGCAAGGCCACCTTATTTTAGGCCTAAAGTTATTTATTACAACCCTATATCTTCGTCAGCCAATAAAAACGCTTGTTAGAAAAGATCAGCGCACGCACACCTGTAACTGCTGGCTACTGAGACAGAGGTGACACGTATTCGGCTTTGTTGAACTTCTGTACAGTACAGTGACGCTTCTGGGATCCGGATTAACTTCGAATTTAATATAGTAATGTTTTAACTAAATAAATGAACTCTGTAATTTATGTTTTGTGAAACTAGTGTTGGTGTGACGTTTGGAATATGACGACACCGATCTGCCGTTGTCGGGTTCTGTACATGGGCTCTGCCGTGCCTCATGTTACTAAAGACGGCTTACAAGGTATACAAGAACCGCTGAAGGACTTGTACCCGGACCAGGGCCCTCTCACCGCCAAGGGTATTGATTCTTGGTTAAGTGTTTGGAGCAACGGTCTTTTGTTAGAAAACGTTGACGAATCTTTACGAGAGGTGACAAGGTTTTTCCATATTGAAAATTTACATTATTGTGCTGCAGTTCGTTACGTTGTAGTTCCCAACAGTGGAAGCGAGAGGACTGAGAAATTTTTACCTTTAGACAGTCCCTTCGCTCGTCACGCTTCTCCAAGTCATCCTCCGATATTTGCCTGTATCCTCCGGCGCACTACAGGAATTAAAGTTTTGGAATGTCACGCCTTCATCTGTAAGAAGGAAACTGCAGCAAATGCTATGGTACGCTGTTGTTTTCATGCGTACGCCGACAGTATGTATGCGCGTCAAATGGAGGAAAACCCGTATTATCTCGAAACGCGTAGAAGCCGGTCAATATCTGGTTTGGACACTGTCCAGAAAGTAGAAGCGTGGCGTCACCAAGCTTCGCCGGAAAAGGAACTTACTGAAAGGTCACCAATAACCAATGGTTCAATGTCAGTTTCAGAGTTTAGTCGGGGTTTAGTGTCTGGTGCAGTTGAGGAAGGTAATTATAAGGTGTGGACTGGACCTGCACCTACAGAGCGAGAAATGATTTATACCGATACTTCTGGCACTATCCAGAGAATGAAGTCCACAGATATTGGATCCACTTTGGGCATGTCCAGATCCTCCCGACACCGTCAGATGGCGCTTCCATCTCGTGTCCCTCCTCCTCCTCCCTCAAATTTGACCGTTAATTCTAGTAGAGAAAGCAAGAGCAAAGCTGAAAAGATCATGAAAAAGAAAAATTACCAACCTCCCATCATAAATGGAATACAGCCTGGAATATCTTCTCTGCCTCAGCCAAGGAATACACATACCGTTTCCGGTCTCTACACAGGCGGACGAGAAAAGAAAGGAAAACATATCCCAGTAGTCTCTGCCGAGGAACCTCTTTACTACCCCTCGGCTCTTCCCCAAGAGCAGTATTACCTCCAGCATGGAACTGCTTCTCGTCCACCCAAAGCTCGGCAAAAAAAGAAAAAACAAGACAAAGACAAATTTTCATCTGATCTGGACTCTCCTTTCAACACGGGAATTTACAAGAAGAAAGGTCATTTAAATGAACGCGCCTTTTCCTTTTCAATTAGACAAGAACATCGCTCCAGATCTAACAGCTTATCCAACCTTCATTTTTTGTCGAATGGAGACAATTCAGTAACTAATGGTTCTAACGACCCTGCAGGTCCTAGTAACAAACACGAGGGCATGGAAAAGAAAGATAGGGAACTCGCTCAATTGTTTAATGGGATGGACCTGACGGAAAACGGACATAGCCCTAACACCAACAGCAATTTTCTTCGTAAGAAAGGGCCTCGTTATCACAGATGAGGTAAGTTCTAAAATAAGAGGCTTGCCTGTCGATTTTGCTTTATAATTTGCTTAATAAAGGTATTAACTGTATTTTGTTGAGGCTCGTGTAAGTTTCGAAATATCCTCGTTGCATATGTTTCGTGTCTTCTACTTGCCATAGAATATAGATATTTGACGACTTCACGTTATATTATAATATGGTTTATTTAACTTATATTTCTAAACTTAAGTGGTTTGAGGACTTTCAATTTTGGTAACTCTTCGGTTTTGAGCTTTAGAGACGGCATTACTTTATCACGCCATTTTATTTTTTATGTCAAAACTGTTCAGAAAGGTCTTGTAAATTATGAATTTTTCTTTTAAATTCAATTTATGGTTGTTGTTTTTTTTTCTATTATATAACACTCAATTATAAAGTAATATATATGAAATTAATTCATTTCAAAATCTTGTTTGGCGTTAAGATTTAGAACCTCACTAGGCTGGTCTAATATGCCTGAAAAATTTTGCAACGTCACAAGATATCTGCTCTATCACAGATTAATCAAGGTAGAAATATTTCTTCACATAAAAAATATTTAATATATATTTGCATGAATAAAGTTGATTTTCTCTGATTTTCCCCCCTAATTCTGAAATTATTTTCACTATTACTTCTGGTAAATTTGTTGACATGTATATAAGTTACTTTAGAAGGTCAAACCATTTACGGCTTTATATTTCCTGGTTGTCAGTTAAATGGTTTATATTTCCAGTCATATGTACGATGGAAATCCGAGTAAATAACGAACTACATTGTAGACAGGTCGGGGATTATTACTGTTATTATTCAACCCTAACAGGGAGTATTAATACTTCACACTTGCTATTTAATGTTCTGAACTCGTAAAGATGGCGTGAAACTGTACACTGTTGACAAGTATTGTTTCTTTGGTGGGAGTATTGAAAGTAAACAGAACGGCAATGAAAAACGTAGATTTAAACGAATCCGTAATTTGATAAATATTATTAAATTTTCGTGTTACATATCTCATAATTATATTTTACATACTTTAGCGAAATGTACGGATTCCGTATTACACAGGTTTTAACCTAAGCTTACGGTGTGGGTAACATGTAGTTTAACAGCATCAGTTACGACGGAAGGAAGTGTTACGTCATTAGTACATTTCAGGTCGTTGAAACGCAGAAAATGGACCGGTTTAATAACAATAATAGGGTGAGACTTTCTTTTGAAGGGTTTTACTATTGTATCATTTGTTGAATTAGTTCACGGTGCGAGTTATCGTTAGTCTAAAAACCGGTTAAGGTAATCGTACAAGACTTATCACATCAGTAGGGTTCAGACATGACAGTTTTCTCGTGACGGGTAATTTCAAAAACACTTTTTCTCCGTAACTAGTGCAGTCGTCTGTTTCGTTGTATTGTTAACGGCTCGGTTAATTTGTTTGTTCTGTTGAAATAAAAACACCTTGCTAACATTCCTGCCATATTGGTAGTTCTGTACATATAATACCTGAAAGGGGTACAGTCTATTCAATACACAATAAAAAAAATTCGAGTTCTATTTCATAACATCAGAAGTGGTTAAAAATGAGAAGTCGACCACATTATTATATTAAGCAATAAAACATGGACGTTTAAATATTGGCTAATGTAGGTCCAGTTTTATAGTTCATGATCAAAACTGGAGAACATCGATTTATAGAACAGACGTGTTCCAATTTACACGGTTTTTTTATTGTTGTTTTTTAATTTCACTTCAGCCGGGGATTTGGCGTCATCTAGGTATATAATCTGTTTCCAGAATTTTGAACATTAACATTTGATGTTGAGGGTCTTTGACCTGTCTTTTGGCGTTGGTATTTGACCTGTTTCCACCAGAACGTAGCTAATTAGTGCTTGATAAATACGGACAATCTTTTCACTAAATATGGGTTAAATTCATGGCTACCTTAGACGCAACCGGTCAGCTGTGTTCGTAGAGTGAGTAAATTATAATACATTTTTACACTGCGTAGTGGACGTACATACTGCCTATAAAAATGATTTAACTGAACTTGCTATTTCCCGCAATTCCATCATGAGAATTCAACTAAGTAACTCATCGTATTCTTTTATTAACAAAAGTATTAAAATTGGCTGGACAAACATCACAACAGCTACATATTGATAACATCAGATAATGGAGGAAATCCTCGACTTCCGGCCTAGCTCGATGAGTGATTTTGTGTATTGAGTTGAAATATGAGAATAGGTTTGGTTTGTTGAACATTACGGAAGATGCTCTATTTTAGTGACCTAATAATCACGTTCACGTTTTTACGGAAGAGAGCGGTTAAACTTGAAGAATGACACCGTACACTTACACTAAGATAACTAACTTTGTATGCGCTTAGGAAGTGCCGTTTTCAGCAATTTTTACAATAAATACGAAGGGGAAAATTAACCGAAACCAAAATACTTTTTTTCTTTTTACGGCAATTCGACGGCTGTAGGTATTACAGTTTGTTGGTTTTATTTGCTGTTCCATAAAAATACAGCAAACTGGGATTATTTCTGGTAAGCTAGGCGTAACAGGGGAGGAGCATGAAGAACTAGCTCCAGCCGAATCGGTGGTTTCGAAACGTTGCAAAACTAACGTTAATATTTGGATGTTGTGTTGTTAATGTAAATGAAGATACAGGAAATAAAAAGTCGCTGCTTTTTTCCCCCCATTTTGAATAAATTTATCAGGTAGTAGTAAATTATTTTACTTGCTGCTAAGAATTACGCGATTGTGCAAGATGACCTTGTCATTCGCTATTAAAATTTTTTCCCAATCAAAAATAGTGTTAACTGTTACTTTTTTTTAAACAAAATAATAATTCAAAGCTCGACCTAAGTTTGCTGCAGGTTTCGTTAATCTAGACACAAAACGTTGGCTTAAGTGTGAACAGATATTCTAAGACTAATCGTATACCTAACTCACGAATAAGTTTGATTAAAGAATTTCTTCGCTAATCTTTCAAATAACTGAATAGACGTGATAACTCTCACTACTAACACAACTGAATCACTTGTTAAATACTTGCTAACTCAAACTGATTCTTGTATTTATAATTTGCCCTTATTTATACATACTCCACGAAATTTCTATATTATATTATCATCAGCTCCTTGCAAACATTTAAATTAAAATATCAAAATATAGCTTACATGAATTTACACGTGTTGGTTATGAAAACAACTACAACTTAAGTTAGCCTAGAGACAATATTGTCATTGTTGTTGAAAATTAACCTAACTATTCGTGTTGTACCCGAGTCTTATAATTTCTAGTAGATATTGAAATACTTGAAAAGCAGGTTTGATTTTATCTGTACAGCTGCAAATCATCAGAACTTGTGTAACCCCCGAAGACCCCCAGCAACTAGCTGTTTTTGATGTTTAGAGAATAAGTTAATAAAAACAACAACAATTATCTTTCACTGTACAAAGCTGCATAGTTTTAAGTGCAAATGAAACTTTGAACAAGATGAATAAAATGGAATACATCAAGTAGAATATTAGAAAATCGTTAGAGATGGTTGAAGGAAGATTTCCCTGGTTATTCCAACTGCTCGGTCACATCTTTTTCCTTGGTGATTTGAAATATTCATCATCATCAGTGATAATGTTATTTTCACTGTAATCACTACAGTTGTCTTATTTATTTATTGTCTTTTCATGCATAAAACGAAACTCCACCCTCTTTAGATCCGCCCCTGCTTTAACACCAGACTACATTGACTTAGATCGATTAATGGTATCAGTTTCTAAACCTAGTTTCAAAATGTATACTAGAAATGTAGATTAATGAAGACACCGTTTAAGTCTACTTCCAAGTTTATCTAGAAGAGACAGATCGTGTTTTCTTTCACTTAGAACAAGGTATCATTTGTAGGAGATTTGTTTTACCGAGGGAATTGTTACAATGACCATAGGTTTAGAGGCCAGGTAGGCCTAAGGTTAGTGTGTCCGGACTGTGAATCCGAAAATTTGTGGTTCCTGATCGTTGTCGCAGAAACGCGATATGCAATTTAGGGCCATAGATGCACAATAAGAATACCGATTTATTCCCAGCATTCGTACAGACAAGAGTTGGCGGTGAGTGCTGTTGACTAGTTACCTTCCCTCTGGTCTATTAATTTATAACTAGGGGGTGGCTCTATGCTGACAGCCCACGAGTATCTTTGGTTAAATCCTGAGAAAAACAAAATTGTAGGCCCAGACTTAAATTGTTGGGCAATATTGTTAATTGACGAGTTCCATACTAGTACTTGCTTGACTCTACTATCTTTTACTTTACAACAATTAGCCTAAAATAATTTAGAATTGGAAGTTGTTTTTTAATTAGTGAAGCCATCATTATCAGAAACTCTGGTGCTACATTCATTGTCCAGGTAAGATACTGAAACCCAAATTTATACTTAAAGCGTGTAATCTGCGCATGCTCTCTAGCGGAAGAAAGTAGTGTTGCTTCACTTGTCACGGGTGCTTGTGATGTAGGTCTGTCAGGGACGAGTCTTGCGAAACGAGCACTAACCTTTATGCTTCGGGTACGTGACATTAGTGTCGAACTAGCGTGGTTTATATTATTGTAATAAAGAACATTAAGTCACACGTAAAAGAAGAACAATCTTTCAAAAACAGTAATTTACTTCCAGAATTTTTTTTTCTCAAGAAGTTGGATCTGTATCACAGTAAATTCGAGTAACCAGCTGATATCGAAGATAATAATTAATAAAACAAGCATGGTCAGTTTACGGTAATTTCTATAAATCTGCGGAGCGTTCACAATAGACACAAGAACTGGAGGTGGGGATTTACACAGTAGATCCAAGAGATTAGACTTGTGGTAGTTGACAGTAAATTCATGTAATGAAATTATACCATTATTTTTATCCCTAACATTGTTACAAGTTAAGAATAAGTAAGAATTAAAGTTGATGAATATCAGATACTTCTAGAGGGCGCTTGGGTTCTGAGATAGGGATC